AGTGGCAGAGATAGAGGCTATGCAGGAATGCAACATGAACTTCTCTTCAAATGTGATGTGGTTACCACCACTGAGTGTTCCACTTGACAGTAGCAGAATGCAAACCCTGAGTCTCCATATGCATCATTCCCAGTTAGTTTCTGCTGTTGACTAAATGGGGACAGGTTGCATACATTGGAGCCCTTTTATCATGGAGGCCATATTTGCTTATCATCTTTAGAGTAGACTCTTCTAGATATGATTTTTTCTTCCTCGCCAACTTTGCTTCTACTAGCACCATTGTATGTGGGAATTAAAAAATGCCTCATCTATTTCATAGAATCACACATAACATCATCTATAACCAATAAACTGATCTTAAGTAAAGGCATTGGGACAATGGGTTCATCCCCATGAGTTTTGCTGTATGCCCCATCACCCAGAAGCAGGCGGCTTGGTTGAAAGGTGAAGTTACAGTTAGGATACCATCAGAGGACAACACCCTGTGAGGTTGGAGCACTCCCTCAGCATACAGTATATGCCTTAAACCAGCAGCCAATATATGGTGCCATTTCCCTTATGGACAAAATACACTGGTCTAAGAACCAAAGGGTAGAAGTGATTACTCTCTTACCTATTACCTACTAAAGTTTTGCATCTCATTTCACAACCTTGGTGGGTTTATAGGTCCAGACAGACAAGGGAGAAATATTTCTACCAGTAAAAACACACAGTCGTAGTCCTGTGAATTGGAAGCTGAGATTGCTCTCTGGTAATTTTGAGTTTCTCATGTTACAGAACCAACAGGAAGAGGAGATCACTTTCCTGGATGGGGTGACTGATCCTGATTGCCATGGGAAAATTGGGTTGCTGCTACGTAACAGGAGCATGGATCCAAGGTGACTGTCCTGTCCAGTAACAATGGTCAGTGGGAGGCTGACTGGAAACCTAAAAAAGATAGATCCTTAGCAGGAATGGCAGATTGGGTCCCCCTGACAAGGTTTAAAAGGAACCCTGGTGGTGTGCTGAGATGCTAATAAAAGGTTAGCAGTTTGAACCTACCATCTGCTCTGCAGGAGAAAGATGTGGCAGTCGGCTTCCAGAAAAATTACAGCCTTGGAAACCCAATGGGGCAGTTCTACTCTGTCTTCTAGTGTCACTGTGAGTCTGAATTGACTCCACGGCATTGAGTGTTTTTTCTGACCAGGTTAAAAAGTAAAAAACAACCTCCTATAAGCCAAGATGCTCTGAGAGTAAAAGGGGAACAATGAGGAATCTGTAAAAGAAGCAATGATTAACAAACATGCCCCCATGACGAGTTACAGAAGTATAGACTTAGCATCTATATTTTATAACTATTCTCCCCTTTTCTGTTTATCTTGTATGTAGTGCCTGGGTGATGATTAACGTTACAATTTAGCTTCCAAGTAGGATATGACTGAATTGACTTCATTCTCAGTAATACAGGAGCTGATAGGACTTTGTTCCCTCACTCCATTTTTTAAAAATTATTTTATCCAAATAAAAGAAAGACTGTGTAGAGGGTTGCTTTCCATTTGCCTCTCCAGATCTACTCTCCATCTTTCTTCCTCTTGCTTTGCATATGGGAGGATTATCTCTGACTGGCTGCAGCACCTGTGCTCCTTTGCCTTCAAGTTTTCAAGTAACTCAGGTAATAGAAAGCACCTACAGGAACTTGAAGGTAGAAGGAAAGACCCAAACCCACTGTCCATTGGGTTGATTCTGACTCATAGAGACTCTATAGGATAGAATAGAACTGCCTCATTGGGTTCCCAAGGCTGTAATCTTTACAGAAGCAGACTGCCACATCTTTCTCCCACAGAGCAGCTGGTGGGTTTGAACCACTGACCTATTGGTTGGCAGCTGAGTGCTTAACCACTGTGCCACCAGGGCTCCTAGAAGGAGAGAGAGGTTGGGGTGTTTTTTCTCTCACTCTTTCCTTGCCATACCAGTCCCACTGACTTTGTTCCTCTGCCTCTGGCCACTGCTCCTGTGAGACAACCTCTTTCATGGCCACAGCTCTATCTGGTGTCAACATGGCTGACACCTGATATTAGATTCTCAACAACCAGAACTGTGACATAGTACATTTCTGTTCCTGTAAGCCACCCAGTTTGTACTTTATTACAGCAGCCCTAGAAAACTATTTAAAAAAAAAAAAAAAACCAAACCCACTGCTATCAAGTCAATTCTGACTCATAGAGACCCTCATTGGGATTCTGAGGTGGTAAATCTTTAGGGAAGTAGATTACCCAGTCTTCTTTCTGCAGAGTGGCTGGTGGGTTTGAACTGCCAACCTTCTGGTTAGCAGTCAAATGCCTTAGGCACTGTGCCACCAGAGCTCCTTAGGAAACTAATACAGGTAGTAATATCCAACTGACTATTTTAAAAGCATTACTATGCTTAGAGCTCTGGTAGCATAATGCCTAAGGCACTTGACTGCTAACCAGAAGGCTGGTGGTTCAAACCCACCAGCCACTCCTCAGAAGGAAGGCTGGGCATTCCTACTTCTGTAGTGATACTGCCTTGGAAACCCAAGGAGGGGTCACTATGAGTCGGCCGACTCTATGGCAAATAACAACAACAACAACATGCTTAGCTCCTGAGTGGGTCAGTTGGTAGCACCTGCAGGTGCCTTCTGACAGACACCTCCCCTCCACTCTCAGCACCAACAAGTTTTAATTGTCCCCTCCTGCCCAGACATGTGAAGTCTCATTCCTTGTGGTACCAGCTAACTTGTTAGGTGGAAAGTAGCTAAGTAAAATATTTACACTTATGTGTGAATGATTGTCAGGCCCACTACATTTAACACCCTAGTGTTATTTGTATTTAAAAGCAAAGTTTTATTATCCGAAGGATTAATCACTAATAGTACCCTTGCAATTGATTCTTGAGGGTGGGACCCCTCAAAAAGTATGTGATTTTAAAAATGACACCTAAGTAAATCAGATCTGGGTTCCAATTCCATTTTTTACTGTGGAAAAAAAAAAGTAGGTAAATTAAAGTCTGTTAGTCTCTTGTTTCCTAGTTCATTAAATGGGGATAGTCCTCTGTTCCACAGAACACCAATCACTTGTGCAATCTTACTTACATATCTGTCTTCCACACTAGATTGTCAGCATTTTTAATTATTAGGGCATTTTAAGCCTCATTCAGGACTCTTACTGGGAAGACATGCTGTAGGCACTGAATAGGTATTTGTTGAGCAGTCCCTGGATATGGAAGGGATGTGTAAGCTGCAGAGAGCCACCCATACCCCAGTTACAGCAATACTGATCACTATCATTTCTCCTATGAAGAACTCAAATCCTCCTTCCTCCACTAAATGGTGCTGATGTTGGGGATACATACATGCTCGAGAGTGAGCTGGACGGGTCCGAGACCTCTGCAACAGATTTCATTGGGACACTCAGAGTGTTGACTCCCAAACCCAAAATCCCAATCTCAGCCTTCTCCATGTCAAGGAGCCCAGATTTTGGAGGTAGGTAATAATGGTGAAAATCTCATCAGCGCTTTCTGAAGTATACTAGGAATAGTAAAGGAAGCGACCTCGTAACTTTCAAGCTACGCTTTTAGGGACGTGCAATCTCGCTCTTCCGTGAGTTTGACTCCTGAGAGTGAGGTTGGCAAGTAGGATTCTTCCTCCTTTTATTTTTCTTCATTTATAGGAGAACGCCCTCGGAAGGAAGATGGGGCAATCTACTTCCGTAGTGATAATGCCTCCGAAACCCAAGGAGGGGTCGCTATGAGTCGGGTCCGACTCCACGGCATAAAGCAACATAACAAGAACAACATAGGAGAAAGCCAGCTAGAAAGTCGAGAAGCAGAGGGCAGAGTTAGGTACCCATTTCTTAACAGTCTTCATGGAAGAGCTTGGCCTCTCAGACGGCGCCACCTTCTCGTCAAGGGTCAACCAGACGGGTGGGGGTTCGCTGCAGCCTGTTCTCTGTTCTCCCCGCCTTCCCGCGCCCTCACCCTCCGCCCCAGCGGCGCCCAAGAAGCGCGCAGTCTGTCGCAGCCACTTTTGGCATCGAGGCCTCCAGGTGCCCAGCGCGAAGGCGGAGCCCTGCTGCAGCCGCCTCCTCGGCGCCACAGAGAAGACCCCCCCCCCCGCCTCCCATCTCGCCCCCCAGGAGATTGTCTGCCCCAACGCCGCGGCCGGGTCGTCCCGGGCCTCCCTGGTTTTCCGCGCTCCTCCCTCTCCGCGCGCCGGGCGCGAAGCCTGCGAGGCGCCAGCAAAGCGCAGCGCGTAGCGCCGAGCGGCTCACCCTGGGCAGTTTCTCCCGCAGCTCAGAGAGCAACCAGAGCCCGCACCCGAGCAGGCGGGCCAGTGGACAGCCGGACCATGGCTCCCAAAGGACTCGGCTCTCGTGCCCCGGCGCGCAGCCGCTTACCAGGACTCTGGGCAGCGGCGCTGCTCCTGTTCGGTCTGCCGCGCCTCTCCGTGCGGGCGGATGGTGAGTGTCTGGGGAGTGCCCGAGAGGCAGTGGGGCTTGGGGTAGCGCGTGGGGTTCCAGCGGGGAAGCTCGCTGTGGCTGCTCCTTTGAAAGGACTTGGAATGCAGAGAGCCTAGGAGGCAATGAGGCCAACGGCCCTCCTGCGACCCGGTGTCCCTATCCCGAACCTCCAACTCTCCTCATGCTCGCACGCCTGCTCGCCCAAAGCCTGCTAAACTCCGGAACCCTCCCTTCAAGCCGGGCGCAAACGGCGGGAGACTGTGGGGTTAGTCCTTCAGTCCCGCCGCTAACTTTCCCAAGATCTCCATGAGAATTCTTTAAAGTGAAGTCACGTCTAGGGTATCCTCGAACCTATTCTGCAGAGATTTAATTTTCCACCATCTTTCATCTCTTGACGTCTAACAAATGTGTCTCCAGACTGCAAGGCCAGTGTTTGGAAGCCTTCCGCGGATATTTTGACTTGGTTCAGAAAGAACTGAAAGATGAACGGGAATAAACTAGGCAGAGGGGAGGAGTGTCCTGAGCAGAAGGAATAGCACATTCAAGGCTCTGTGAGTGGCAGGGAAAATGAGAAAAAGGATATCAGACAGAGTGACTGAAGCAGAGAGCGCAAGGTGGGGATGTTGTGGAAGATGAGGCTAGAGAAATAGGTAAGGGCTAGATGCTTGCAGAACCCCTGAGAATTGCTCCACTTTTGTTATTGTTTTAACCTGCATTCAGCTTTTAATACTTCCCTTGAGTTAGTTAGCATCATCAGAGCCTTGCGTCAATTCAATTTAGAAAAGCTAATTCAGCTTTGTTTTGATTTTGGCACAATACCCCATTGACTTGGTGTGGGAGAATCCGAAAGAAGCAAGTTTAAAAGCCAGCAATTCTCACGCCCATGAAAGATTTCTAGTAAATCCAAGCTTAGGACAAATTAGACTGATGAAGGAGAAAAACTTTCTGCTGATTTAGGATCCTTTGCAATGATATATTCTAAAATGTCTTTTGTATTTAACAATGTTGGAAGAAGCTAGAAGTCGACAGAATGAAAAAAAAAAAAAAAAGTGGTGGATTAGGGAAAGGAAACAACCAAAGAGAAAAAAGAACTCCAGATGTTAGACTTTTTAGTGCTCCTTGTGGTAAATGGCACTTGAAGAGCTTTTTGCTTCTGATGAAGGATGAATGTCTTATTTCTGTTAAGGACTGCTGTTAATTCTTTCTTTAAAACTTGAGATAAAATTTACCATTTTGCAGGGTACAATTCAGTTGCTTTATAAATATATATATATATATATATATATATATATATATATATTCATTACGTTGTGCTGATATTACCACTATCTAATTTCAAAACATTCTGAAAAAGAACAAAACAACTCATAGCTTTTAGAAGTCAGTCCACTGTTAATTCTTTTCTGTAGTATTTTTTGCTTGATTGACACTGAGTTACGAGAATTAAGTTAATTTTAAAGAAGGGTAGTAGACTAAATTGGAGCTGTGTTAACTTATGAATTACTTATATTGTTGAACCAATTTTAATTCCTTTTAAAGAATAGCTGTGCGTCCATGAGGTTTTCAAATTTCATCCCTTTATAATGGTGTAAATAGAATGACAGGCTGATAGGGATCAATATTTTGTGCCAATTTGATTTGATACAGTTCATAGAAAATTGCAGACAAAGGTCAGTGGACAAAAAGAAAATAACAGTACCGAAGCATGTAGTTTTTTCTTCTTTTTTGCCAGAAATGCCTCCTTTCCTCTCTTCTCCTTCCTTCCCTAATGGAGAATTTAGTTACACTTCCTTTTAAGAAACTGAGCTCCAATTTTAATAATACATTCATAAGAATTTATAAGTACATTATAGAGGATTCTTTTCTTAACTAAATACATGCTTAAATACCACAACTTACCACATTTAGTTAGTTATGTGGATTTAGGGAGAAAAGGGCTACAATGATGTGAGGAGGAATAAGAAATGTTCAGACAAACTGTGATGTATTATAAATATTTGAAAGATAGAATTGAAGAGGAGTTATTTCTTAAAAAAAGAGACAAAATTAAAATGAAAAACATTTCATATACATTAGACTAATTAGACATGCATCTCCTATTACTGTACTTTTAAATAGAAGCTGAAAATCCTCACATTAACTGAAAGCAAATGAACTGTTTGGGTTATAATTATAGGAAAAAAATTATTAACTTAACAGATAGTTATTGAGTAGCTACCATGTGCTAGGCACTGTCTTGCTATGAAGAATAAAATGGTGAGGAGAGACAGGTCCTTGCTATTATTACCAAAACCAGTGCCATCGAGTTGATTCAGACTCATAGTGACCCTACAAGACAGAATAGAACTGCCCCATAGGGCTTCCAAGGCTGTAAATCTCTATGGAAGCAGACTGCCTCATCTTTCTCCCACAGAGTGGCTGGTAGGTTCAAACTGCCAGCCTTTTGGTTAGCAGCCAAATGCCTTAACCACTTGCCACCAGAGCTCCTTCTCCTTGGTATTAATGAACTTAAAATCCAAATGGGGGAGAGAGTCCTTAAGCAAATAATTATATGAATGAAATGTGAAATTTCATATGCACATCCATGTTCATTGCAGCACTATTTACAATAGCCAAAAGATGGAAACAACCTAGATGTCCATCAACTGAGAAATGGATAACCAAACTATGGTACATACACACAATGGAATACTATGCAACGCTAAAGAATAATGTAGAATCTGCAAAACACCACATA